GCCTCGTGAGCGCGCTCTAGGCTTCCCCCGTTCCTTGACAGATGTTATCCGGTAACGGTGGTTTGGGCTGTGCCCTCCCTCGGTATCCGGTTGGGCCTTTGTGGCCATGGAGGAGCCACGGCTGGGTCCGGGGCTTGCTCCCAGCCCAGGTATCGGTAACGTGAGCGCTTAGCCCGTCCCCGGGGCTGCTTTTGCCATGGGCTGAAGGGGTGGGATCGCCCTCGAGTCCCCGTGGCGTGGGCCTGAATCCCCGGCCGGTAACGGGGGCTGCTGGTGTCCGTGGGGCTGAAGGAGCTGGAGCCCGGGGCCGGGCAGCAGGAGGCCCGCGGCAGGCGGAAAAAAAACCCCGCCGTGAGAGGGGTTCGCAGGGCTGGGATAGGGCTGGTGGTGGAGGAGCTGCCTCCCGAGTGAAAGAGCTGCGTGTTGAGGTGGAAACCTTCAAATAACCCCAAAATCTGACGTGAGGACTGTGACACGGTGGTGAAATCCAGCCCGGAGCGCCGGGCCGTGTCCTTTCCTGTCCTGGCTTAATTTTAGAGCTGAGAAAAATTACAACTTGTCAATCCAGATCATGCATAGGGCTGGTGGTGGAGGAGCTGCCTCCCGAGTGAAAGAGCTGCGTGTTGAGGTGGAAACCTTCAAATAACCCCAAAATCTGACGTGAGGACTGTGACACGGTGGTGAAATCCAGCCCGGAGCGCCGGGCCGTGTCCTTTCCTGTCCTGGCTTAATTTTAGAGCTGAGAAAAATTACAACTTGTCAATCCAGATCATGCTTTGTAGGAAACGGAGGAAAGAAAACCAGGTGAAACCTGGGGGAAGCTTCTCTTGGTTATTCCTGGTGGTCTATTTTGGGTTCTGGGGCATGTGGACCAACTGGCTGCAGATTTATCTGCTGATGTAACTCGGAGTGTCCTTTTTGTGTATCTGGTGCTGTTTTTCTTCCGCTGTCTGATCCCGTTAGGATTTGCAGGAAGCGACATCCGCAGCCTGTGGAGCTCCAGCGGTGGACTGTGATGAGGTGTTGTCTCAACTTGACCCGGGGCTTATCTCATTATGCTGCAAGTCAGCAAGAACGAGCAGATCTCCTCTGCACCCTCCCTCTGTCTGCCCCTTGCTGCTCCTCCAACCCCAAACTCCCCCATTCTCTCTCATCCTGCCCTCTAATTTCACATCTTTGAACTCCAATTCCTCTCTCAAAGGCTGGTGCGGTGGGGAGGGCGCTGTGCCCGGGCAGTGGGTGCTGCTATTGCATTGCATTGTATGGTCCCTGCTGGGCTGCTGCCCTACAAATAAGAGGCTTTTTTGGTTGGGGCATCACTGTGAAGAGCTCCTTTACAGTGCACTTGGCGCCAGGTCACTGCTGCACAGGTCTGGTTGGAGTTGCTGCTCTCCGGCCTCCTCTGTCCTGAGTGTTTTTGGCAAGAAATTAACAACTACATCGAGAAAAAAGGCGCTGAGCGCATCGACGATGGAACCGTGTCAGCGTTTTCAAGCTAATTTGGATTAGAGCGAGGTGTGAAGCTATTCTGACATACCTATTGCACTTGCTGTTGGATCAGTCTTATTCTGGGACAGGAATGCTTGTTCCAATTTAGCTTAATCCTTTTTTAAAGCTAACTAATCTAAACGAGGCCAAGGCACTCTCCTGGAACGTGCCAAAGCGCAGTCACTCCAAAGAAACGTGATGTGCAGAGCGAGCCGCTGGCTGTTCCTCTTCCTGGGTCTGGCTGTGCAGCTCCATATGGGTTTGTGGCCACGTGAGGCACCTTTAGGTCAGTGAGGGACTGGAACTTGAAAGCTAATGGAGGTTTTAGTGAGGCAATTCCTTTTATTGAAGGAATTTGGGCTGGTTTTGAAAGCGAGAGGACCAGATCCTCCTCCTTTCTTGCAGATGTGGTGCTGTGAGCAGCTCCGTGCCCCAGGTGAAAGCTGATCCAGCAGAAGGGGGGTGAGGGTTTCCCGGCTGGCTCAGGCGAAGCCCTGCGGACGCAGGTGTCGACACGGAAGGTGATGGATGTGGGGGGGGGAGCAGGGTCACACCGCAACTGCAGCGTGAATTTGTGTAGGATTACAGCGTGCGTGCAGTCACGGCCCGCTAAATGCACGCGGTGCTTGCTAATTAGGTAACGTCCCTATTAATGAGGAGAAATTTCTGCACCTCACTCCCGGTGGAAGAGTGCCACGGTGCAGGGAAAGAATTTTGCCTCCTGTCTTGAAAGAAATGACTGAGATAATGGTGGTTCTGCCATCCAAATCACGCCCGGGGGTGTTAAGGAGCGGGAGGGGAGCGGGTGGCGGGCTCGTTGTCGGTGATAAATCACCGCAGAGATCCCGAGCGGTGGGAGCTGGAGAGAGTCCAGCGCAGGGCTACAAAGATGATCAAGGGAGTGGAGCATCTCCCTGATGAGGAGCGGCTGAGGGAGCTGGGGCTCTTTAGTTTGCAGAAGAGGAGGCTGAGGGGAGACCTCATTCATGGTTATCAATATTTAAAGGGTGAGTGTCACGAGGATGGAGCCAGGCTCTTCTCGGTGACAAACAACGATAGGACAAGGGGTAACGGACACAAACTGGAACACAGGAGGTTCCACTTCAATTGGAGAAAAACTTCTTCTCAGTGAGGGTGACAGAGCCCTGGCCCAGGCTGCCCAGAGAGGTTGTGGAGTCTCCTTCTCTGCAGACATTCAAAACCCGCCTGGACGCCTTCCTGTGTAACCTCATCTGGGTGTTCCTGCTCCGGCAGGGGGATTGGACTGGATGAGCTTTGGAGGTCCCTTCCAATCCCTAACGGTCTGGGATTCTGTGAGCTGGGTCCCAGGCTGAGTTGAGGAGCAAGGTGCCTCTCGGTGAGCTGCTGCTTCACCACCGGTCCTGCTCTGTGTGGGACTCTGAGACACACACAGGGGTTTGAAAAGCGATGCCCTGAGTTGATCTGGCTGAAAGGGACGCTCTGGAGCTCAGTCACAGCAACTTTTACCTCCCCACTGGCTCTTTTAAGAAAACTGGAGTGTGAAACAGCAGCACCGATGCACTCCCTTTCTTTTCATGCCTGACTCTGCTCCCGGCTGAGAGAGGGAGAGCGCAGGGGTCAGCGAGGGGGTGCTGACGCTGTGGAATAGTACGGACTTTAGCAGTGAAACGCTGGGAGCTGCGGCAGCGAACACCGGGAGCTGTGAAACACGACGCCCGCAGCGATGGGCTGGCTGGGGAGGGTGAGGGGAGAATGCAGATGACGCATTTGATTTTAAAAAAAAAAAGTAGATAGTGCTGACAGAAACCCTATCTTGATTAAGGGTGGTAGGAAAGCATTCGATTCCAGCCGTGTCTCGAGCTCGGTTACAGTTGGTTTTGGCTCCCATGCCTCTGTTTGCCTTCTGTGGGTCCTACCCTGACATCTTCGGTGCTGGAGCTGACACCTCTCTCCTGAAAGCTCCTCCCCTCATCATGGCTCTGTGCTGGGACCCGAAGGCTCCTGGGTGCAGCCGCCTTCAGGAAGGAGAGCGGATGATTTACACTTGGACATCATCTTATTTACGAACTGTGTGGTCTGCCTGCACAGATGGCTTAGGGCTGAGGCTTTGTGGATCAGGGATTCGCTGCTGCTGAGTTGGTCGGACTCGTAAAAGCAAAGTTCAGGTGATTTCCTTAGGGAGCGTTTTATAACTCGTCCTCCCGGGCTCTGCCTTGCAGCTGCACGGTGAAAGCGTGGAAACACCTTTGCAAGAAGGTTTTGTTACAGTTTAAGGGTTTGTAACCTCGTTGCTGGCTTTATTCCTCTTCCATCGAGTTCAATGTCACCTGTTGGGACTCCTGCTGCTGTCAGTGCTCCGTTAATTAATTGCAGGGGCTGTTCCTGACATGGTCACGGTGCTTGGTTTGCTTACAGCAGCATCGGGGCAGTGCTGTGGAGCACAGCAAGGGCCCTGTGCTGCCCTTCTTCCTACATCTTGCCCAGTACTTTACAGAACTCTCTTCCCACATTGGAAATCTATTTACTCTGTAGAGGAGCGTGTTTGTGCCATTGATTCTTGTCTGTAGCCCTTCAGAGGGTGAAAGATGGCACTTGGCAGAGCTCTGGAGGCAGCTCCAGCATCGTCAGGCTCTTGCTCCATTGATCTGGGCCTTGATAAGGGTGAGAGCTCTGCTGTGCTGTGCAGCAAGGGACGGGAAGGCAAATCAGCCGCTCTCTGGAAAAAACACAGCTCTAGCACCTACAGGTACAAAGAAAACCTTCAAAACTTGATCTTTTTGATAGTTTTGAACCTGCAAATGCGGATATAAAAAATCTCCTTAGCTTTGCCAGTCGGCAGTAGGATAAAAAAAACCTGCATCGCTTTTAAGGCTGTGCATTAAAGACGGGAAGATGAGCCAAGGGCTGTCCCGGTGTTTGTCTCTGGTAGCCATGCAGAGGAAGAGGCGAGCCATGTGGCTGACGCCTGCGCCGGGGTCTGGCGTGACGGGTGACCCGTGTTTATTGTCTCAAGGGCTGTAGCGCAGGCCGAGGACTCGCGGGGACACGTGGAGGTGAAGATGTCTCACCCACAGTCTCGCTATTCCTTTGACGTCCCGAACCCCTGCATCAACTTTGCGACCCTGAGCGATGACGACGCGCTCAACGCAGACGCCTGGTTTGGTAAGCGGCCTCCGGCTCCTCCACTTGTTTTCTGGTTGGCTGGGGGCTCGGCCTGATGCTTTGCTTTGGGCCTGGCGTCTGTGCCAGCGGGTTAGTCGTGTGTGAACTGATTCACTCATCCTGCGTGGGCTTTGGTTTTCTTTTTGTGTCGAAACTTTGCTCGTCGTCTGTAACGTGACAGATGACTTCGTTAATGACTTCGTAATGCTGTTCTGAGGTGTTGTCAAATTCCTGACATGGTATCTATAGTCAAAGTCTCTCTTTCCTCACAGACCAAAAAGCCAATCAGGAGAATGTCCCTCCTGGAGAAAATCTGGCGAAAGCCTTGCTTCAGAGCCCTGCTATTTCAAAACCTGATATTGTTCTGTCTTCTGCCACATCACAAGAAATAACAACGGGTAAGCTGGCCTGGTTCTGGGGGGAGAGAATAAAGTTTACCTGCTTCTCACTGGCAAAATGAGGAGGCCTCTGTCTGACTTTTGTGGGACCATCTTCATATGTTGTTGTCTAGTGAGGCCTCGTGTGGTTTCACTTGACCATTCCTCTGTGTGTGTGTATGTGTATATATATATATATCTATTTTTATAGATCCATATTTATATATACACTCATATATATGAGTTTTATATATATATGAGCTGACATTTGTCCCTCTCCTCAGGTGAAAGCCATGGTGAACAGGACGGTGGAGCAGAACGTGTGCAGGTCAATGTGGTTTCTCAGAATATTGTTGGATCCCTGGCGAGCTGGAGAGCTACTGCTCCTGCGGAGGCCCCTCAAAGGTGAAATATGTGTACTCAGCTTGCCTGAACATCGACGCCGCTGTAACTAAGCTGGCTGCTTGCTCTCAGGCCCTGCAGTTCTGCTCTTGGGCCATCCTGTGGGTCTGGAGTTCTCCAGCACAGAGATCATGTATGGGGACAGCTGATCTGCTTGCTAAGCTGGAGGGACAATCTCTAGGGGTGGAAATGTAATGCAGTGTCTCACGTACTTGTCAAATGAGACTCGGTAGCACTCGGAGCCTCTGGAGTATGAGGATATCTGAAACTGAAGCTGCATATAAAGTTTCTTTGTTTATATCTGCCTGAGTTGGGCAGAACTCGTTCTCGATATGGATGTGAGGGGCTCTGTACGCTCGTATATACTGAAGAATATTAAGTATATGGATTGTTAAATAATTCATGCTGCGTTTGGGTTGTTAAGCACACAGTTTGCATAGGGTCATGGTGGAGTTGGGTGGTGCACTGCTCACGTCTCCTAAGACCTGTTGGAAAGCTGACCTCTGCGCTCTGTTCTACTCTAGAGCGGGCAGGAAACAGACCACAAAGCAGAGAAAAGCACAGCAACGCAGACAGCCAGGCAGAGTGAAAGTGGAGAAAGATGCTGATGCTGTGGAAAAGGAAGAGGTTCCACCCCTGAAAAAAATGAGAGTGTACGTCATCAAAGTGCTGCTGTTTGGGGCTGGGAAGGGGGATACGAGTGCTCCTTTGGAAGGATTTCGACTTGCCCGAGAGGGTTCTCACAGGAAGGTTGGGGGGAGGTGACCGTAACCCGATTCCTGATGCTGGTTTTGTAAACAAGAAGAATGGCTGTAAGACCTGAAGGAAACGCTCTATTTGGAGGTGGAGATGTGAATGAAATAAGCTTGGGTTTCTTAAGCTTCTTATTCCATACTGAGTGTCTGTCAGCTAGCTTTAAATTTGGCTTAACTTGTCCATCAGGAAGTCATCGGGCGATCGTAAGCTATGAAAGAGTCGCAGCTGAAATATTTCTCAAATTAGCTTAACCACTAAGATATCGTATGGTGACAAGCTTGAGGTCAGGAAACTGAAGTACGATCTTTCAGATGGGGCTGTACCTCGATGAACTGCAGTACCCCCCTCCTCCTCTAAAAAAACCCCAACGTTTCAAAATCTCAATAATTCATCTTCCCTTCTGCAGCCTTAGAGTACCAGGGAAAAGTCAAGGATCTGTACCCCGGCCTGTGGGGAGGTAAGGCTGGTCCAGGGTACCCTAGAACTCACCGGGTGTTGGGGTGTTGTGCACGGTGGTGAGAGCTGCAGCTGATCTTTCACTGAGAGCACAGTTAATTGGGGTGGTTTGCCCTAACAACCTGTTACCTTAGTTCTAGCAGCAGGGAGAAGCTGACAGAGGTATCCACAAAGAGAGAGCCCCTGCAGAACCCTGACCTCTCCCCAGAGAGAGGGAGAAGCAAGCTGACCATGCCCTCCACGCCAACCATGTTGAAGTACGTAGCTTTCTTGTGACTTGTCTTTGCTAATCACAGTTGATTTAGGTGACAGCCCTGGCCAGAGTGTTTTCAGCTTCAACTTAGCATGTGATGGTATCAAGTTTAGTAAACACCGGATCGAGATAACAATATCAGGATGAAATGTACTTCATCAGCTGAACCTGTGCAAGGGAAAGCTTTTGCTTTTAATTTGAGGAAAAGAAAAAGTGCTTGTTAATAGGTGAAGTGTGCATACAGCAAATGTGTGTGTGGGGTAGCAGTTAGCTGCAAGCTTTCTGGAGCAAACACGAAATCCAAACAGATCTTTTCTAGAGAGTAGACTTTTATAGTGAGTGATACTCCTGCAATGCAGTCAGAGTGAAGCAGGAAGGCATTTCTCAGACTTTAACGTGCTTCTGCAGGAGGACCAATTTTTCTGGCAAGCTGAAGAGCACAGAGGAGCAGGAGCTGGAAAAGATGCAGCAGTTGCAGCGGGAGGTTATGGAGCTGCGGAGGAAGAACGAGGAGTCTCTGAAAGCAGCCATTGCTGGAGCAGGTGGGCTCTTGCTGAATTGCAAGTTGAAGCTGTACTGGGCTCAGCTGGAGAGCGCTGCACAGAGCTGTACAAGTACCTTTAGAAAACATCCCAGTTCTTGTGATAAATATCAGGATTAGGTGGCTTTTAATGTACATCAGCCCCTACACTGCCTGGAAACAGGTTTGTTTGGGCTTTGTCATGTTTTGAAAGGTTAGTTTTCAAATAATTAATCTATTCAAGTTATTAGAAGTTATCTTTTTCTTCCCACCCCCCCACAAATCCTCCTCCACTTCCACAAGGCTTCCAGACCTGACACGTTCTCTTTTTCATCAGGACAACCCGTGAAGAGAGCTGGTGGTCAAGTAACAAAGCCAGTTGACTTCCACTTCTGCACAGATGATAGAATTAAACAACACATGGAGAACCAGCCTGGGAACAAGTACAAGGAGCTGGACTTTGCCTCAGTCCTAAGAAAGCATCCTCCTTCTCCGGTGAGAACCCGAGCGTTGGTAGCAGTCGGCTGACTGATTTTTGACATCACCTTCTTCCTACTTTTGCAACACACGTGCTGCTGGCAGCCCAAAACGAAGGGTTACCCTAGGAGAGGCGAGCGTTGTGCAAACCTGACTGTTTGCTCACTGCGGAGCTGTGCTGCATTTGAAAAGGGCCCCTTAATGTCAGATCTTCCAGTCATTACACCTCGTGTTTCAATCTTCCACTTCATGCAGTTTCCCAGTACGACTGGCTTGTGCGTGTTCAGACAGTTGAGACTTTTGTCTAATGTTAAGTGTTGTTTCCTTTTCAATAAGGACAGATACTGTGGATCGGCAGGGAAAGGAAATGTCATCAAAACATTGTGTGTTCAAATAACCGTATTTGTTTTGTCTCCAGGGGCGAATGCCGAAGGGACCCACTGTCCCCAAACCGTTCAATCTGTCCCAGGGAAACAAAAGAAAACTTGAAGAGACCACATCAGAATACGTGTCCCTTGCCGAGCAGGTCGAAGCATTCCAAAAACGCACCCCCTCTCGTTACCATTTGAGGAGCAGGAAATCTGATGAAGGTGAGCGGTCCTGGCTGTGCCCAGCTGCCCACAGGGGTGGTGGTAGAGCAAGAATTTGACTTTGAGCAAACAGGCTGTGTTTGATGCAGGCCTTGCCATTAACTGCTCATCTCTCTGACTTGAATTTCTAGGCACAGCTCAGGGGAAGCCGGTGAAGGCTCGGCTTACGAACCCTAAAACACCAAAGCTTCTGACAAAGCAGCGCTACAGACCTGCTGCCTGCAAAACCACAGCAGAGATAGAAGCAGAGGAAATGGAGAAAATTCAACAGTAAGTGAAGGCTTATTCTGCCCCTCCAAGAGAGAATGTCTTTGATTCCAAACTGTCACTCCTCAGGAATACCCTTTTTTGTGTAAAAGAATGAGGAGCATAAAAGCACTGGATTCTTTTTAGCTTGTGCATAATCCTATGGCCCTGCTTGTAGGGATGTGAAAAGTCACCAATTCCCTTTGAGGGAAGTGCTCTTAGGAGAGCTGCTCTTGAGCACAGCTTATGATCAGTAAAGCAAAATGCTAGCAGTACACTTCAAAAGTCTTGTAGGCAAAGTTTGGGGTTGCCAAGAGAGCAATCCATTGGGTTTTCCTTAACGTCTTGCTGTTTCCAAAGCAAAGGAGCAGCTGCTAACTGGAGCTGTGCACTATGTAATGCGTGTGTGTAGCACAACTGCTTCTGTACCTGACCATTGCTCTGTTATGCTGTGAGAGAAGCCATTTGCTGGAAGCTGCATCTTGCCGTGTGCAATATGTTGGTGACCGTCTCTTGTGTTAGGTACAAATTCAAAGCACGAGAACTCAATCACAAAATCTTTGAGGGTGGACCGCTCCTGCCCAAGAAACCCCCTGTGAAGGAACTCACGCAACCCATTGGCTTTGAGTTGGAAATCGAAAAAAGGATTCAGGAGCGGGAGAGTAAGAAGCAGCAGGAGGAAGAGCACTTTGAGTTCCACTCCAGACCATGTCCAACAAAAATACTGGAGGACGTTGTGGTAAGAGGTGTAATAATATCCAGAGCTGGGGATTGGGACTGAGGTATAATTAACTACAAATTTCCGTAGCTATGTTGTGTTATGCATTTAATAATCTTCAGTAAACACTGCCTGTCATTAGGTGAGAGCTGCAGTGGGTACGTACTGTGCGTTGTCAGGTTATTTCTCTGTAGCACTTTTTCTTGACACTTGGGCTTGGGTAACTCCTGACTGGCTTTTCTGAACAGGGTGTTCCAGAGAAGAAAGCGCTTCCTGTTACAGTCCCCAAGTCTCCGCTCTTCACCTTGAAAAGCAGAACCCGAGCAGCCACCAGAGATGAAGAAAAGGTAACTTGTGATCGAGCTGTCATCAGCCTTCTGGTGCCACCATGGTGACTGCCGTACCTGTGTCGGTTGGGTGTGATGGTCTGGTTCGGTTACCACCTTCCCTCCTGCTTGGTGACTGCCCAGTGGTCATCCTTGTGCCATTCCCTCCTAAGGATTTGGTTGCTGCTACTCCATTTAACAAAAGCTGAGTTCTCATAGGAAATGAGAACTCCTTTTAAGCAGGAGGGCACTGACAAGGGTTTCTGAGGTGCTGCTGCTCTCCGTCCTGTTATGGAGAAGGGCAGGTATTGCACATGAGCTCCCTTCTCCCCTAGAGATAGGGAGCAGGATTCAGAATGCATCGTGTCCTACTCATTTCCCTCCTGGGAAGAGGTTGTTAAAGAATTACAGCCTCACTTGGATGAATACGAGAAGTGATAGTGGCTTGGAAAGATGAAGCGTTTAGCTGTGGATCAGGATGCCTGTGAAGTGGTACCTTTTGGATTACTAACTTTTGCTAATATCCCTTTAGGAAAAGGAGGCGGACCCTGTGATCAAAGCTAACCCTATGCCGCATTATGGAGTGCCCTTCAAACCTAAAATGCCAGAGCAGAGACACGTGGAAGTTTGCCCCTTCTCTTTTGATGCCCGTGACAGAGAGCGGCAAATACAAAAAGAGAAGAAAATAGAAGAATTGCAGAAAGAAGAGGTAAGAACTCGAAGCTGCCTTGGTTTCCACTCTTTACATAAAAAAGTGAACTTGCCTTTTGCTGTTAAACTTCTAAAGCTTTGTGACTTTGAGGAAAGGCCAAGAAATACTTAATGCTGTTCCTTTCAGGTGCCAAAGTTCAAAGCACTCCCTCTGCCTTACTTTGACCACGTTAAGCTGCCAGAAAAGAAGGTGAAAAACCCGACTCAGCCTGAGCCCTTCAACCTGCAGGTTGATGAACGGGGAGCTGCCAAGCTGGAGAGCTGGAAACAGCAGGTAGGGTGGGAAGGATAAACAGGTATGAGCAGTGAAGTCGTGATCCACTTCAGACAGTGTCCTGCTTGAGTTGGATCTGAGTTCGAGCTATGAATTATCCTGTCCTTGGCATGAGTCTGCTGCTATGGGCTGAAGATTGGTGAATTGTTCTGGTTTGGGGTTTTTTCCCCCCTCTCTTTATGATAAATGATGGGATTTACCACAACCACATAAACAGCTGTGGGATATTTTCTAAGCAGCACCTATGTGTGTGGCTGGATCCCTTTGCTGTGCTTGGGGATTTATTGACAAATAAATAATAGGCTGCTTGTCTCACGTGGAGTCTGCAGCGGACACCTGAAATTTTCTTCGGGTTATTGTTGGCAAAAGGAACTGGCAGGCAACAAGTGACACAACTTTTGGGCTTTAATGTAATTTTCTATGTGAGTGACTTGATTTAAGTCAAACTGGCTTTTCCAGTGCTGGGGGGAGTGTTGGTCTTTTTGTTACACGTGGTGTTTGATGGGCTCTGTTCTCTTGCAGCTTAAAGAAGACTTGAAAAAGCAGAAAGAGGCAGTGTGTTTTAAAGCTCGTCCCAACACGGTGGTGTACCAGGAGCCTTTTGTGCCTAAAAAGGAAAATAAGCTGTTATCAGGTGGAGTTACAAGTGCTTGCTACACAGGCTTGGCTAATAACTCAGAACTATTGCAATGAAATGATGTTTAGACTGGCTGCTGCCTCCTCTTTACCAGCACAGCCAATAGAGCCCTGCACTTAATCAACTAATTCCCTAACAGCTCGTGTCCCCCGGGAGCAAGGGAGTTTCCTCTGCAGGCCCCCTGTCCCGCACTGACACGGCAGCTGTGTTTAACAGCTATGCCACAATTGGCAGATGATTGATGTGTGTGAGCTTGGGATGAGGGTAAATAGCATGCGAGGAGCTCCCTGCAGAGACAGCTGCCACTTCTGCAGCCGCTGTCAGTCTTCTCCTCCTGTTTCTAATGAGATGAAGGCATCTACAGCGTAGGGCAGACTAGGCTTCGTTAGGGTACAGAAGCAGCCCAAAATTTGCTTGTACTAACAACTGTGTGCTTGCTCTCTCCTATGAGAACACCCGTGACGGGGTGATGCCTGCACTAACACTGCTCACGTTTGGGCGTGAGGTTTTCTCTTTGGAAGCCCGGAGGTATCTATGAACCACCCTTGCAAGCTGAAGCGCTCCACAGGGAGGCTTCCATTTGATGCTAGAACAGCTCTGCTTTACCTGACTGGCTTTGCACCAATGTTGTCTCCTCTATTTCTAAACTTAGAGAGCCTTTCTGGTTCCATAGTTCCTGAAAGCTTTGAGCTGGCGACAGAAAGAAGAGCTAAAGAGCGGCAAGAATTTGAAAAACGACTGGCAGCTACAGAAGCCGGAAAGGGGAAACGACTGGCAGCTACAGAAGCCGTTAGGGAGATGCGTAAAGAGCAGATCAGGCAGCAGCAAGAGGAGCATGAAAAGGAAGAAGTTGCTAAGCTAAGACAAGAAATGGTAAGTGAGCCGTTCCTGAACGGGCTGTGAAGTAGCCCAAAGGGATGTGAGAATGTACTAAATGAGCTGATGGCAACGTTGAGCTGCGCTTGGACCGTCTTTCCGAGTTTCCCTGGTGCAAGCTGACTCCTCATTAACTTTACAGCTGGTCTTAAAAAGGCAGCTCTGCTGAGACAGCTGATTTTCGGAGCTGTACGCATGAAGTCATTGGAGCAGAATGATCTTTGTGAAAATCCACAACCCCGAAGCGTGCCTTGCGTGTTCCTGGTGGCAGCGTGGCGGTCTGTAGACAGACGCCCGCCTTCATCCCACCAATGGCTCGCCTGCAGCTTTCGCCTGCATCATCACTGCAAACATTTGCTTTGCTTTGTCCTTGATTTTTTGTCGGGTTTTTGTTTTTCCTACAGGTCCACAAGGCAAACCCAATACGCAAATACCGCAGCGTAGAAGTGAAGCCCAGTGACCAGCCACTGACTATGCCCAAGTCTCCCAACTTCTCGGATAGGTTCCGGTGCTGATGCACATCCCCGTGGTCGTGGAAGGGAGACCCCATCCCTCTCCTCTCTCTTGCTAGGCAGAGAAGTTGTTTTTATGTGACTGCTGAGTCTCAACTCCCACGCTTGGTTCCGTTGTTGTTATATTGAGTAGTTTAACTCCACCTGAGGCAGGTGGCGCAGGCAGTGCCATATGGCCTCGCTTCACACCTACACACCTTATTCTCGGGAGACCAAACCAGGTTTTGATATCGTATACAAATATTGTGTACCTGAACTAAATAAAAATACCTAATCTGATCGCTTTCTCTTGCCAGTGGGCTGAATCCCCTTCCTGGAGAGGAGTTTTCAGTAAAGAGCGCTCTGTGACCACGCAGGGATGTGTGTCTGGAAGAGCTGCCTTGTCTTTGTACAGCTGCATATTGGTTTCAAGTGTGTTTCTTAGGTTTTTAGTCTGTATTCACACAATCCAAGCTTAAGTAGTGTGGCTCCCGCAAGCCAGCATATTGCAGATGTGACCTTGTTGATGTTTAGAAGAGGGCTAATGTGAATTTTTTTGCCCGTGCTTTAAAGTGTTGTCTGTGTGTATTAAAACATTAAACCTTCTGCTGTTTTATAGCTGAAGCCGTTCTATTTGGGGAACCATTTAACTGGCAAATGACTGGCTGGGAGCTGCCTCCCCGGCTCCTGCCAGCGCGGCTCTGGGCTAAAGACACTTGGTCCCCTCACCAGTCGAGCGCAGCAGAGCTAAATATAGAGCGAGCACCCTGATGGGCTGGAGGACAAAACCAAATTTAGATTAAAATTTAACCAAGAATTATTGCTTACCTTGTAAGACTCTGGTTTAGGCTTTTCCTTGGACTTGTCTTAAGAGAGAGGGAACTGAAAGGCTGTGGGAGAGCAAGAAGGGGTGAGGGATACAGCTACCCCAGATGATGCTCTGGGATGCTGCTGCTGCCGTGTCTGTTGGTTACATGTTCTGCTAACTCAGGTGATTCTGTGGTGCTGTTTTCTGAGCCAAAATGAGACTTGCAAAAAAAAGTCCTTGAGTTCAGGCTTGGAAATGCATAAAGCTCCTTGGGCTGGTTTGGTTTCTTGTGGCTGTGAGGGCATTTGAGGCTTTGCCTCTCCCCTGTGAAAGGTTCCTTCGCTTGCTGGAACTGATGTGAGTGGGGCTGCTCGCTGCTGTCACTGAAAAACCTGGGAAACTTGGAATTGATGTGTCTAGGTAGGACAAACATTCTTGTTTAGGGGTTATGGCAAACATGGGATCTGTTGGATGGGGACACGCAGGCGAGGAAGCTCCTGCAGCAGCCTCCAGCGCCAGCTCCTCTGGAGCAGCAAATACTTGTGGTGAGTCAGAGGAAAGCCTGGCTGGGGAAGAATGTGAAGGCAAGCAAGTGAGCAGGGCTGCTGAGCCACAGCAGACAGCAATCCCTCAAGGATTTTCCTGACAGCCTGGGGATGGGTTTGTGTGCCTGATGGCTTGTCAGGTTTTTCCCAGCGGTATCGGTGGATCTTATAAAAGATACTGATGCTTTCTGCACACACAGCCTCTTGTATTCCTCACACACTGCAGGGTTGGTGAAAGGGAGCCTGGGGCGGCCGTGCCTGCAGGGCATTGGTGTTCATTGGAGATCTTGGGGTCACCCAGGGGATTTTTGGGCTGTTTGTGTCACCTGTGCCTTAATGAGGGGGAAGTGGTGGTGAGGATGGGGCTCAGCTCAGGTTTCGATGGGGAAATGGTGGTGGGTGACTGCTGGTCCCAGTAGAGTGCAAGTGGGAGGATAAAGTGACAGGACTGGAGCTGCAGATGGGATTTAACCGAGTGCTGCTTTTAGCATCAGGGCAGGTTAATAAACTGAGCTAAAATCTCTGTTCTTGCTGTGGGGATTTTGCAAACGTTGTTGTGTTCAGGAATCCAGAACTCAACACCTCTACGAGCGGGGCTGAAGGACGGGTGCTGGAGAGCTGGGTACAAATCTTCCTCTGATGCCCTATGAGTGGGGCTGAAGGACGGGTGATGGAGAGCTGGGTACAAATCTTCCTCTGATGCATCTCCAGTTAATACCAGTCAGCTGCTGGGCTTTGATGTCAAAAGGAATCGCAAGATCATATTAGCTGGTGAATGAGATTCTTATGGAAAGGCTTGAGGATGCTTTGCTTCTGCTGGGACCCTTTGCTGGCCACCAGCACGGCCTGGTGTCCGGTTGGTGGGGACAGCCTGCGCACCCCGGCATTGCTGCTGGCAGCCACGTCACTGCCCTGCTTCCAAAGCTATGCACCGTTGGGATTTTTCCTTGTCTTTCCCCATCACCTCAATGGGATCTGTCAGAGGCTCAGCTGGGGAAGTCCTGGGTGCTGATGCGGCTCAGCTGCTGCCCACGTTGGTCCCACCGGGGCTGGCCGGGCTGGTTTGTGTTACTGCGGCACGGCCGGGATTCAGGTGGGGGTGTTGTTCCCGTCTGCCCCCGCTCGATTTAGCCGGGGTGTTGGGTTTCCCGCAGAAGGGACAGGGCTCGGGGTGCAGAGCGGCCCTGGGCCGGGAAAAGCGCAAAGGTTAAAGTGTGCTGCCCGAGTTGTGACAACCGCGTCGCTAGGGACCCGCCGTGCTTGGTGCGGGGCCAGCGCCCCGGGACAGGCTGTTTTCCAGCTGCAGCCAACGTGGGCTCTGGTTGGAGCTCCTGAATGGGGAAGAGAAACAAAACCCAGCCTGAGCAACCCTGGTGCTGGTTGGTGGCAGAGCCCCAGGGCCCTGTGCTGCTGCTTGGGCTGGGGGTTTCGGACCAAGGCATCTGAAATCCATGTGTGCAGCTGTAATGCTGCAACTCTTCCTTGAGGGAACTGTTTTCAGCTTATGTCCCTTTGCCCACAAGTGTATTTTGCCCTGTAACCCTGGCACGCTCATCCTTCCCCTTGGCCTGTATTAAAAGCAGTGTGACCAGCAGGGCCAGGGAGGTGATCATCCCCCTGTACTCGGCACTGGTGAGGCCGCACCTCGAGTGCTGTGTTCAGTTCTGGGCCCCTCACTATCAGAAGGATGTTGAGATTCTGGAGAAGAGCCACAAGGATGGGGAGGGCTCTGGAGAACAAGCCTGATGAGGAGCGGCTGAGGGAACTGGGCTTGTTTAGCCTGGAGAAGAGAAGGCTGAGGGGAGACCTCATCACCACCTACAACTGCCTCAAGGGAGGTTGTGGAGAGGTGGGTGCTGGGCTCTTCTCCCTGGTGATGGAGATAGAACAAGGGGAAACGGCACCAAGCTGTGCCAAGGGAGGTTCAGGTCAGAGATAAGGAGGAAGTTCTTGACTGAGAGGGTCGTCAGAAGCTGGCACAGGCTGCCCAGGGAGGTGGTGGAGTCACCATCCCTGGATGTGTTTAAAGAGCGGGTAGACGAGGTACTTAAGGATATGGTTTAGGGGGTAGACAGGAGCGGTTGGACATGATGATCTCAGAGGTCTTTTCCAACCAAGTGATTCTGTGATTCCCCCACAGAATCCATTTCCATGGCTGTGCTTGCTCTCAGGGCTTCACTTCCCACCCTTGTCCTAAGGCTTCACACCCGGACACCGGCCCTGGCTCTCCCGTGAGCTCACAGGCACCATGGGAGGCCTGGCCCCGCTCCAGGCAGGCGTCTCTGCTCCTGCCCTGCTCTCCTGGGGGAATTTCACCCCAGTTTCCCTGTGGCTCCTGCTCCTTCCACCCGGGCAGGGCCGAAGGTTGGAGAGCGGTGGCAGCGTGTGCCTGAAGTGACACTGGTGGCCTCAGGTGCCTGGCAGGAGGAGGGTGGTTCCAAACCATACATTGGTGATGACAGTCGGTGGGCAGAGTCCTCGCTGCCCAAGGCACGGTGCTGCCTCGCCGGTTATTCCTGCCCTGGGAAGGGCAAACAGGGGGGCTCCTGCTTGTCCTGGTGGCTGTGCTGGGTGTCACACGTGGCACAGTCCCCAAGAGCCACAGGTGCTGGTGATGCTCCAACCTCTGCACCTCAGTATCTGCCAGGACCTGAGCTCCATGTGGGCTGAGGAGCCTGCGGTAACCTCAGCCTCCACCAAGCACCACTGGCCCTTCACTGCCCCCAAGGCTGGGGGAGAAGGGTTTGGGGATGCCTGGTTGCCCCCCAGCAGCCTCTGCTGCCTCATTGCCGTGAGCTGCTCTTGATGCTTCATCTCCCATCACCAAGCCCTGGCTTCCCCCATGCCCCCCAAAGCAGCACCAGTTTTGGGCTAGGGACCAAGCTCTTCCTCCTCCTTGGTGCTGGCGTTGCTGCCACCCTCACATGATAAATGGCTGTTCTGGGTTTTTAATAGTTGGTATTATGGGAGTGCTATCGCTGGCTGGGTCCTGTTACTGGGGGTTCCTCCTGCAACCCCCCCCATAATGTTCAAAGTAAATTGGGCTCTGCTGGGTGTGGGAACCAGGCAGAAACCTGGTGTAGCCTTTGGCAATCAATCG